TTCATTGTTAGATTTAAAAAAGGTGGAACACCTATCATTAGTTGATTTCATTTTCATTGTTAGATTTAAAAAAGGTGGAGCATCTAGTCATTAGTTAGCGTGCATTAAAGCTTGCGGTTGCTAAACAATATGCTTATTCCCTTAACACAACTTTTGATTTATGAATATTGGATTTGTTTTTATAAACGCTGTAATACTTTCACCAAAATACTGCTCCTACTTAAATTAAGCAGCAATGTTATGTTCATGCTTGCTGTGGATTTTAGTTGCTTTATTACTTGAAAGACAAATATTTTCAAGTTCCATATATTTGAACCTTTTTCGCTAGAGAACAATTAAAAGAGGGAAGCTGCAATGTGAAAATATCTTAAAAAAATGAAGATGATCTCATGTCTAGGCATCTAAGGAGAAGTGCAAAACTGTATTAGCCGCTAGAAAATGGTATGAGTTGAGAGTAAGGAATGTCGTCATCCTTAATTTTAATTTTAAATTAAATGGGAAAACTTTTTTCTAACGGAGACAAAATCTAAGGAAACAAGTAAAAGCTGCCCAAAGGGAGGATTATGAATAAAAAAACCCTAGAAGAGCGGCTACATCAAGCCACATTGGGTTTGGCACATCAAAGAGTTGGGTACATCTGTACTTATAAAATGCAGAATCACACAGTAGTACAGAAATCCCATGGTGCCATAACACATATCACATGGCGTAGCGCATGCTATTTTAAATATTAAAAAAATATGGATAATGATGCAATTATACATGAGCATTTACGAAGGACAACTAGATTGAAAAATAAACTATCAAGATAATGAAAACTACTAAAATTATAAATAAAATTATCACTTTTATAATTTTAAACATTGATGCTTAGGCCAAAGTACTTCTGATGTAGAACGGGAGGAGGTGGGGGGATAATTTCAAAATCTGAAATTAATTGTAGATTTTAGTGAGAGAGATTTAAAAATTTCGAATTTCAAACAAGAAGAATAAAGGAGGGAAGAGGTAATTAATATTCCCTAATCTTAGGCCGTAAATTAGGGAATAAATAATTAGAGAAGGGGAGGGAAGATGGACTGGCCAATGCAAGGAAGAGAAAAAGTGTCCACATACAATGTATGTGGATCTATGCATTAATGGGAGATTGGAGAGTTAAATCTGTAATAATTTCAGATTTAATATGATTGAAGGATGCTTATTAAAATATATGTACTATTTAGGAAAATATTTAAAATTTGGATATGAGATTAATTAATCAATCAATTTCAGAATTGATTAATTAATTAAATAAAGAAACTTTCCAAAATTAATGTAATTAGTGAGGGTGGATTTGAAATTCAAATTTGAAATCTTTTCAAATTAATGACATCCTAAATAAGGAAAGAGGAGTTTTGGAGGGAAGTGATATTAGGCAAAGAGGTGGCTAACGGGTGGGTTTGGGTGATGGCGGAGATGAAGCCGGTGGATTGGAGAGAAGATGGAGTTGGCGGTTAGGAAAATAAGGATATATAAAAACAAAGAAAACAAAAAAGATAAAAGATAGAACCGTGAGCTCGGACGCTTCCTGCGGCTGACGGGTGATATGTTGCCCTTCACCAAGGGACTTGAAGCCACGAGCTCGGACTCATCCTGCGGCTAGTGGAAATTACGATTCCCTCCCATAGGGATTCTCACCAAAGTCCTCCCAAGGAACAAGAGTGCAGAAACCAATTTTTTTTATTAATAATACATTATGCCAATACAAAAGCAATGGCCTATATATATAGGCCTCAGAAATTAAAAAACTAAAATAAGACGAATATGCCCCTAGGACTTACATAAGACTAGACCCTTAAGTAAGGGTAAAAATAGAAAATGCATCATTAAAATAAAAATTACATATAAAAATTTAAGATAATGTGGGACGATCACAGCCGTCAATCTTCAGCTCCTCCTCGGATAGGCATGGACGGTTGTATGTTCGCATCACTTTTGCTTATAGGGGATAAGTGTATTTGTTAGATATTCGATTGACGTTGACTGTGAGGACATTTTTGCAATCATTGCATGCTGATTACCATGGCTTGCAAAGGTTTGATATGTTTGCTTGCAAATTGGTGTTGATTGTAGGAAACTTGTTATAGTCATTGTATATCTTCCATATTTTATTCATGAGTATGCCATTGCTTTTGTCGGGTCCATCATCACTCCCCCCACCATTCGCTTTAAGTGCAATGTGGTAAAATTTTAATTTTAAATGTTAAGTTTCAAATATCTAAACATGCTGCCACTATATGTCGGATACTATTTATGTGTTTGACGACTTGCCTTAATTGAAAGTTCTCGCTAAGAGGGCGAAATCTCTGGGTATTGTCTTATCTCAATCTAATCTATCTTCCGAAAATTTCTCCTGGAACATCATCCGTTAAAACTCTCCTTGAATATATGCGGAGAGTCCGGAGCCTCAAAAGTTCAAAATTTTTGGAACCCCTATATATATATATATATATAAAAGATGCTAACATCCACTTCCCACCACTTTACTAGGTACATACATGCATGAATAGTAACTTTAGTTTGCAGGTAATTAATTTTTTTCCTTCCATATGTTTAAATTTTATTTGCTTGATTTAATAGCGGACATTCTTCTGGAGTTTATTATTGCGTACACCTTTGGGTTAGCAGGCTTATCCTCATCAGACTCATGTAAATGCTATTTTTGTTAAATTTTGTTTCTTTTGGCCGCCTTGCTTTTTTTCCTTTATTCCTCTTTTCTTTCTGCTTTCCCACTTTTCACCTCATCACCGTCATCAAATCATTATAATCTTAACTATTTGGGATCAGTTTTAAAGAGCCTCCTCGTTTATTCATTTGAATTTAGTGCTAAATGGACTTGCTCTATGTTATGGATTTTTTTTTGCTTTTGTAGTCTTGTTACTTAGATTCTAATTTTTTAATCTTTTTTCCTTCTTTGTCCAACCTAAAGATCATATTGTTATGCCTTTTACTCTCCATTATTCATGACCAAATAATCTAAAGTTCATTTTACACTTATCTTTTCTAGGCGCTATTTTGACCATCTCTATTATAACCATTTTTCATTCTAATCTTATCTTGGTGTTCACTGCACATCCATCTTATACTTCACCTTTTACTGCATTAATTTGACTATTAGCTACTTTTTTATTTCCCAGTACTTGTATCCAATATAGCACAACACTCTAATTGTAGCTTTTTAATTTACCTTAAAATTAAAATGATATTCTCTTATCAGTAATACTATTGAGACACTTCTCCATTTTAATAACCAAGTTCTAGTTTCTCACACAAAATATCACATTTTACCCGCAAAAAACTGCTTAATTTGCAATTTGTGATCTTCATTTTGTCTCTGAAATGAGCTGGCTGACTTAATCCCATCATAAATTATTACAGTTCTTGTATGTACTCTCTCTCTCCCTCTCCCCCTCTCTCTCCTTTCCCCGTCTCTTTCTCTCCCTTCATTTGTCCATATTTCTCTCCCTCTCTCTCTCTCACACACACAAACACACACAGACGTTCCTCCTTTTGTCCCATATTTTCGAAGAACCTTCCATGCCTTGAAATGTAATCTCAGCAACGGTGTCTCAAACCAGCAACATAAATTATAAACAGCCCCGATGAATAAAGATACCATATACCTAAATTTGACATAATTTACAAACCTATAAGCTCTGGTTAGCCATTAGGCTACTTGTGTTTCACCTGAATGAGAGCTATGAGGGAACCGGATAAAACTTGAAATGCAACCAGGCAAGATCACAATCCTTCTTATCTAGAGGATATTAAGATTTCTTATTCAGGGAATGAGAAATCATTATAGACAGTTAAAAGAGAATGTCTATGCATGGGCAGATGAGGGTAACAAGCGGTTATAATTTATTGTATTAGGCCATAACTCTCCTAAGAATCATTCAGAGTAGAAGGTGATTTAAGGATCAGGACAAGGGTACAATGCATCTGCCCTTTGACAGATTCGTGAGGTCCGTTCGACGCATCCATATGATTATTAACATATATGGTTTCATGTTTTCTTGTTACTTGAGGACTCCATTGCGATACTTTTACATCAAATTTTGTCAGACCTAATTCACTTTTGGCGATGATATCTACTTACATTAAGAATGATGATTATACTTTATTTCATTTTATCTATTGAGGTTATATTTGTTAATTCTCTGGTAGTTTTATCATTTTATTGAGTAGTATAACTTGTTTGTAAAGTGTTGAAGTGCTCTTCCTCTAAGTAGGAATAGGACCTTAAATCTCAAATATTATGAATATTTAGACTAAATGAGTGAAATTCAGAATGCATCGTGCCTTGATTCTCTGCTTTTTGCTATAATCATCGGTTAGGCCGCCCAAGGGGGGCCGGCAGAACCAGCTGATCCGGTCCCTAGTGGACCGGTTCTTGTCTACAGGCGGAGGGCCCAAGAGGGGGGGGGGCTAAGGAGTGGGACAGCTCAATTAAACTTTGCTTTGTGAGGAAAATTTTGAATTAAGGACTGTCTAGGGATTTTTTAATCGTCCTCTTTGCTTTAATTAGTTTCTCTTGTGAGGATTAGAGTTTCATCTTGAATTGGAGGCTGAATTTGAGATCTAGGGTTTTGCTTTTGGGCTCTAAGCTTTGACTAGAGATTTGGAGAGCTGAATCTTACTCTCGAATTGAAGATTCTTGTATTGACTGCTGTTTTTCATGCTCTTTTGCTGCATTGGAGACTCTTGTTTGCTGTTTTCTCTAATAAATTTGAAATTCCTGCACCAAATTTGCTGCATTTCTCTGAAATTCAGCAATTTCCTGCACTGTGGCGGTTGTTTTCTATTATCATCCGTTATAGAACTGTTAGATCTGGAAACACAGTATCAGATTTAGAATTTTGCATAGCACTTTTCTGCTCTATTGTTCTCACCCATCATCCAACCATACAAGAATCCCACAATTACTTTATGGCTCTATTTGCAGACGGTAAGGAGCAAATGTTTCGAGAAGTGCATCACAAAGCCAGGATCCAGTTTGAGCGGAAGTGAGAGCAGTTGCATCTCTAGATGCGTCGAACGGTACATCGAAGCAACTGGTATCATTGGCAGAGCTCTTTTCAGCTCTCCTCGCTGATTGGTTTGCAAATGTCTTATTCTCTTAGTCAATAACACAGCATATTATTGAGTTAGCTGACCTGGCTTATTGCACAGTTGCATGATCTGATAAATTTCTTCACCAGAACCTGGAATTTTGATAGCAATTTTGCATTTCTTTGATTGGCATTCCATGCCTCTTAATATCTGCCCATCAATTTAAATATTTGAATTGATTAGGTTTAAGAATTGTAGGCAGTGAGCTGAATGATTTTGTTTGGAGAAGTTTTTTTGCTGGAATGATTTGGAGATAGTTTTGCTCCATTTTTTAATTTTCTATCTTATTTTATATGTTGGAAGTATATGATATTCATCAACACTTAGGGGCTGTTTGGTTGCAGGATTTAGGCTGGATTTGAGCGAAATCCAGCCAAACGGTCTAAAATGCAAAACCAAATCTCACGGCAAATGAAAACCGCCGTAGACGAAAAATTCCGCCTTTTTGTGCTAAATCCTGGATTTTCAAAATCCTGTTTTCGCCGGATTTACGAAATTCATTGGCTCCGAAGGAAGAGTCCGCTTGTTAAATCCGCTCTATAGTCAAACAGCCACATATTATTTAATAGGATTTATCATGAAAGTTACCAAATAGTTTTCAGGATTTAGGCCCCTCAGGATTTCCCAAATCTCGATTCAGAGGATTTACGAATTTACGAAATCCTACTTAAATTAAATCCTGGGTGTTACCAAACAACCCTTAGAGCTGATGCTTCGCTGATGTTAGTTCATAAGTTCTGCTTTGAAAGCAATGAAATATATCTGCAGTTTTGATTTTTTCATCTTCTCCGAATCTGATTGGCCAGTTCTTTCAAAATGACATATTTTCATCATGCTGGGATGCACGTTGAAGTATTTGAACCAATTCATTGAAGACTTTAAGCTGCTAAAAGTGACATTTTATTTAATTTGTTTGGTTAAATTGCCGGTAAGCTGAAGCCATTAGAATAAGAGGGCATGTTTTTTTTATAGAATTCAACAATTGAGCTACTGAGCACTTGTTTCTATCAGGCAATTGATGTGACTTATCTTCCTGAAGAGCTTTATCATTTCAAACAATGCTTGTGACTCATTTTGCTTGTGCTAGTATTCTGCTAAAGAATTATAAAACTCTGTTACATACGAGGGAGTGGACAAGTCAAGCAGTACTTTATTTTCTCCATTTAGGTTTTGTTTTGGACGGCTTTCTTTCTGCTTTCAAAAGCAATTTTTTAGTACAAAAATTTCTTAAATTAAAAGAAAAATTATTAAAAAGTTGCTTCAGAAAATAGTAAGAAAGTCGTCCCAAACGAAGCCTTAACCTGAATATTGGACGTAAAGATTTGGAATTAGTGGTGGCGGAAGTCATGTTTATTTGGTGAGTAAGGTTTCATTTGGGATGGTTTTCTAATTGTTTTTTAAAATAATTTTTTAGTATAAAATTTGTTTTAACTAAATTTATTTTATTAAAAAACTGTTTTAAAAAGGATTAAGAAAGCTATTGCAAATGAAGCCTAAGAGAAGGCTTTGTTTGGGATGATTTTTTTTATTATTTTATAATATTATTGTAGAGAAAATAATTTTTTAAAGGTGTTGTAAAAAGTAGTTTTTTAGTAGTATATATTTTTTAAAGTAATGAAAATGTAGTGGTCAAATAAAAATTATTATTTTGATCTAAAAAATAAGGTAGTAAGAAATTTATCTTAAATGAAGCATAAGAGAAGGTTTGTTTAGATGTAGGCTTGGATCATAGCAATTAAGTATAGCAATCAGGTTATTGGAACTTGCCTACAGCTATATTTTTAATTTTAGTTATTGAATTTTAATTTTTTGTTGCAATTAATTTACTGTTTATTGCTGAATAAACGAGTTATGGTGAATGAAGACAAATAATAAGATGGAATTTTATCTTTAGCAAATAAGAAAAAAGGAAGAAGAAGAAGAAGTCATATTTCTCAACATTGTATCCGATTTTCATCCATTAAAAAAATATATATTTTTTTTCAATCCAGTGAGCCATAGATTCTCTCACATCCAAAGCTTTATTCTCAATTGACTAATTTGTCAAATTAATCTGAGTGATTCGCATCTCTCTCTCTCTCTCTAAATATATTAAATGTTCATTTAATTAAGGGAGTAAGAAGATGCTTTAATATAAAAAATAAATTAATTTAATTAAAAAATTTAAGGGGTAATACCAGGGATAGATTCAGCCCATTTTGCAATAAAATAATAATAATGAAATAGTTAAAATATATTAAACTAGTGTTTGTAGATAAAAAATATAAACTAATTGGATAATATCATCATATCTATAATATCTATAAGTGAAAAAAAAAAAAGTTATAAGCTTTTATTTTAATTAATTAATCTCTTAATTAAAAATAAGTGATTAGGTACAACTTTGTGTAATTATCACGTTACTCTAATTAAATTGTAAAACGTACTGTTCACTTTTACGTTATTATTTTAAACAAAGAAAATTAAATGGTATGTTTGATGATTTGAAAGTGTACTGTATGTTCTTTTGGATGATAGGTAGAATGAAATGTGAATTAGGGGTGTCAAAATTTAATACGACCAAAAAATTTTGGATTTTGGTCAATCCAAATCCAAACTGGGTTGAATTCGGGTTAGGGATTTCGACCCGTTTGTAAACGGGTCGTGTTCGAGTTGTCCAAAAAACTCGGGAATGTCCCAAAAAAAAGCCTTTCCTCGCATTTGACCGCGCCTGCCCAGGTTTGTCTGCATCGCTTGCCCGGCTGTTTACGTCGTCTGCCCGAACGAGCAGAAGTCACTACTGCGCGTACTTGCGTCTCTTCGTGTATGCAGCCGCGTTGCGCATCGCTCGTTGCCGCAATGTTGCAACTACCACTGCCTGACCGCTGCCGATTTGTTGTTTACAGGATTTTGCTAAATAAGCGTGCAAACGAGCGGAAGTAGCTGCTACTTACGAGTTAGGTCAGCTTGACTCGAACTCGAATCAGGTCGGGTTTGACTCCAAAAAATTGACTTGTTTTTAAAAACGAGTTGAGTTCGAGTTGACCCGAATAGTGCCATATCAATTCAGGATTGAACTCGAACCCGACCCATGCCCTAATGTAAATGAATGTTTATATTTTCTCTTGAATTTGGGTAATCAATTGGCTTTGTTATTTTAAAATTTGAAATGAGGTAATTATGATTGAGTTTAATCCTTTCATTAGACTATGAAGTTCACAATTAGTTGTAGTTGTTAAAGATCGGCTTCATTTGAAAGGTATATATATAGTGCCTAAATTAGATTTCAAATATAATAATGATTTAGAAATCAAATGAGAAATAGAGGATGTCTACAAATGGTGGGAAGGAAAACATAAAAGAGGGGCAAAGGAGCATCAATTACAACCATTGCAAATTTATCCTACCAATATGTTATGGCCGGCCTTCAAAATATTTGTGAGAGAATTATTATTGGTTGCAAATATTTTTTTACACAATAAAAAAATAATGGATTGTGATAATTTTTTTTTTGTTGCAATACAATCCACTAAAATTATAACTAATTTAGCGATGAATTTTGATTTTTTGTTGCAATTAATTGACTGTCTATTGCTGAATAAACGAGTTATGATGAATGAAGACAAATAAAATTTTTGGGAAGTTTATCTTTAGCAAGTAAGAAAAAAGGAAGAAGAAGAAGAAGCCATATTTCTCAACATTGTATACGATTTTCATCCATTTACATAATCTTAATTTTTTTTTAAAAAATGATGAATAATATTTATAATCTAAAAAATATATCTTTCAATCCAGTGAGCTATACGTTCTCTCATTCTCAATTGACTAAGAATTCGTTTGGGATAGATTTTTTACTGTTTTTTAAAGTATTTTTCTAGTACAAAATTTAAAAATTTTGTATTAGAAAGCTGTTTTTATAAGCATGAAAAAAGCTGTCCCAAACGAAGCCTAAGGCTTTATTTGGGATTACTTTCTTATTGCTTTCTGAAGCAGTTTTTTAATACAAAATTTTTTAATTTAAAAATTTTTTATACTAAATAGTTACTTTAGAAAATAGTAAAAAAGTCATTCCAAATAAAACATAAGTTATTCAAATTATATTATAATTTTAATAATGCCTACTTCACTACAATAATAAAATTAGTACGATTTATTCGATTCTCTCTCTCTCTATAAATATATAAAATGTTCATTTAATTAAGGGAATGAGAAGATGCTTTAATATAAAAATAGTAAATTTAGTTAAAAATTTTAAGGGGTAATGCCAGGGTTTGAAAAATATAAAATAATAATAATGAAATAGTTAAAATATATTAACTTAGCGTTTGTAGATAAAAAATATAAACTAATTGGATGATATCATCATATCTACAACATCTATAAGAGAAAAAATATTAAGAAAACAAATCTAAAATTTATAAGCTTTTATTTTAATTAATCAATATCTTCATTAAAAATAAGTGATTAGGTCGAACTTTGTGTAATTATCACGTTACTCTAATTAAATTGTAAAACTTACTATTCACTTTTACGTTATTATTTTAAAGAAGGAAAATTAAATAGTATGTTTGATGATTTGAAAGTGTACTGTATGTTCTTTTGGATGATATGTAGAATAAAATGTGAATTAGGGGTGTCAATATTTAATACGACCTAAAAATTTTGGATTTGGGTCAATCCAAATCCAAACTGGATCGGGTTCGGATAAGGGATTTCGACCCGTTTGTAAAATGGTCGGGTTCAAGTTGACCAAAAAATTCGGGAATGTCCCGAAAAAAAAGCCTCTACCTGCATCTGACCGTGTCTATCAAGGTATGCCTGCATCGCATGCCTGGCTGTCCGCGTCGCCTGCCCGAACCAGCGGAAGTCACTGCCAAGCTTACTCGCATCTCTTTGTGTTTGCAGTCGTGCTGCACGTCGTTCGCTGCCGCAACGTTGCAAATACCGCTACATGACCACTGCCGATTTGCCGTTTACAGGATTTTGCTAAATAAGCATGCAAATGAGCGGAAGTCGTTGCCGCTTATGAGTCAGACAGGCTGACTCGAACTCGAAGCAGGTTGGGTTCGGGTCCAAAAAATTGACCCGTTTTTAAAAACGGCTCGAGTTCGAGTTGACTCGAATAGTACCGGATCAATTCGGGGTTGAAACCGAATCCAACTCATAACCCGATTTTGATAGCCCTAATGTGAATGAATGTTTATATTTTCTCTTGAATTTGGGTAATTAGTTGGGTTTGTTATTTTAAAATTTGAAGATGATGTAATTATGATTGAGTTTAATTCTTT